TATATATATATATATATATATATGTGTGTGTGTGTATATATAAATATGTGTGTGTGTGTGTGTATTTTTTCTGACTCACTTGTGCTGGTTCTCCTCTTGTTTGGCCTCCTGCGAGTCCTCTCTATCTCTCTCAGGTGAGGGGGTGCGTGGAGGGGTCGGAGGTCGGCGTGGAAGTGGCTCCCACTTCAGCTCCAGCATTTCTCCTTTAGCCAGAATCTCATACAGCCGCTTGATCTCCTCGGGTGCAGGCATCCAGTTCTTAGGGTCCTCCATCTCCTCATCGCTGTATGGGATCTCCCAGTCCTCCTCAGTCTGCTGCAGCTTTCCTTCACCGCCTCCATTCATTTCTCCATCCGTGGCTATTCCCTCTTTCTGCTCCTCTACATCCATGGATCCTTTGTGTCCTTCTACATCTTTCATAGGAGTGTGAATGAAAAAATCATAATGTGCATAAAATGCAACAATGTGTAATAGAACAAACTTGTACACCTTGCAAAAAATACTGTGGCGATACCATGGTATATTTAGCATCATATTCCAAGTTCATTAAGAAAGAATGCAAAAGGCATGGTATAAAGACACATGTGGTGTGCATACTTGCGTCATCCTCTTTCGGGGCTGTATTCGTCTCCTCTCTTTTCTCTTCCTCCTTTTCTTCCTCTTTTCCCGCAGTTTTCTTCTGTTCACTCACTCCCATAGACTCCACTCGCTCCGACAGTGAGCACTGCGCGTCCTCTGCCGCCTGCATCTTGCTGCAAACCTGCGGGAAAACACGTGCTTTAGCTGCATACTAACGATTTCATATTCAAATATGAAAACATTTCATATGTGTCAATATATCAGTTCCTGACTAGTAGCGCGCCTTCGCTGAGAATCATTCAGAAACATTCGATATGATTATTTAACAATGAACAGAAATGAAGGGGCGGATGCACTTACAGTTGTTTCCCCACTACTGTTATAAACAGCTGCGCGGGGTAATAAAACGCATCAGTGTGCTATTATTTCTGAAAATAATACTGCATTAGTTATTATGGGCTGTTATCACTGTTGTTTATTTCGGCGCCTTGACGTCATTCGCCTGATGTCCCGGATGAGAGGATCCGCCCACAGCGCCACCACGCGCTCGAATGACCGACATAAAACCCCGCGTGGAAGAAGTTGCTATGGTGTTCTGGGTGGTTGCTAGGGTGTTGACCTAACATGTAACGTTCTCAGAACGGTCCGTCAACATTATTCCAGTGACGTTGATAGAGTGTTCATTCAAAACCATAATTCATAAATAATTTATGGAACGTTTTCCCGAAACATTTTAGTTCGATATCTGTCTAAGATGGTTTAGAGAGCATTCCAAAGTAACATTCCCATAATATTTACAAAATAATAAAAAGGCACATTCCCATACATACATCACTTAACTAAAAACGTTTTTAGACATTAAAAAAACGGGATGTTTTGAGAACATTCAGAGATGACATTTTCATGGAAACGTTAGCAAAACATTCCTAGAACATATTTCTGTTGGCGGGGTAGTTGCTATGGCATTGCTGTGTGGTTGCTAGGTTGTTCTGGGTGGTTGCTAGTGTATTATAAGCAATTACCAGGGTGTTAAGGAGAGTAAAATATTCAGTTAGAGAAATGGATTGTGAATTAGGCTAAATGCTTTATTGAATATTGATATAGGCCTTTGTCAAGGGAAATAAATTATAATTTATTTAAATAAATAAATTATGTCATTTATTAATATAATTTTAATAAGACACTTACAGTAAGCCATATGTCGTGTGCATTTTTTTTTTTTAATGTTATTTTCATTATTTTCAATCATTCTTTTGAATCGAATCTTCTCAAAGAACCGGTTAACAAATCGCGATTTGTGAATTCGATTGATCCTTTTTATTTTATTTTATTCTTTTATTTTATTTTTAAGATGCTGTTAATTTAACTGAATATACGAGTTTTTTTCTATATACATATTTTTTTTAATCGCATATGAAACGTAATTAATTTAGCTATTTGTAAAAATATATATAAAAAATACTATACTGACTATTCTTGTGCTCAAATAAAATGTGGTATTTTGTATTGTACATTTTGTACATTGTATTGTTTGTATCTGCTTATATTATTTGTCGCTTAAGAGACTTTTAATTTGACGGGTGTTTCAACAACTCCAGCAGAGCGGAAGTAGATTCCCGCGGAGCCGCACATCAACAGAACGAGTACAAATCTGCGATGAGTTTTGAGTGGCCCTGGCAGTATAACTTTCCTCCATTTTTTACGTAAGTAAATCCATTTTATTATCAATGTCAGGGACCTCAGATGGAAAACCCAGGTTTCGTGTCCGCGATATAATACTTTTGGTCATTTGTATCGCGACTAAAGCTACTGTTTGCTTTCCGCTGCGGAAGTAATACAATCACTACATGTAGCACTCCATGCACAGTGTTCAGTCATGCGAGGATGACATTAATTATAATTAAGTATTACAATATTTACAGTTAGCTACTGTTTGCTTTCCGCTGCGGAAGTAATACAATCACTACATTTAGCACTCCATGCACAGTGTTCAGTCATGCGAGGATGACATTAATTATAATTAAGTATTACAATATTTACAGTTACAGTGTGTCATATAGTGTTTAAATGTTGTTAGGCCTGTCGCAATAATCAATATATCGACTTATCGCGCAATATATGTAACTTATATGACCGCAATAATTTTTGGTGACGTAATATATCGCCCATTTATTTACTTAAAAATTAATGTCACTATGTTTTGTACATTCCACTTGCTCCTGTGTGTTTTGCAGCTTGTCGTACATAGCGTGGTGTAGTCATGAGGTGCTAGTAAAAAATAAAAAAATGCTTCTACAAAAAAAGTTTCATCTGCAGATATGGCCTTGTTTAGGGATCTGTGTCTTTGTGCATACAGACATCTGACTGCTGAGTAGTGATTGTGTTTTTCAGCAATAGTGTGCACCCTTCATTTACAGAGAAAAGAAGGCCAGGGAAAAATCTCCATACAAGTTCTTTGTGCATTTATCTTTTTTTCTGTTTGTTACTTTGCACTTTTTGTTAGAAAATGTTTATTTACTATTTATTCAGCTTTTTTAAGGTATCTAAAATTTTGATACTTAATTTCCGTGTTTTAAATATTCTTGAAAATTAAAAGTTTGTTGTCATTTGGAAGTGTGTAGGCCTTCTTGCATTATTATGCTGTTACATTATGATTATATATTGTCTTTAAAATGACAATAATATCACTTATCGCAATTATTTCTGGGGCAATATTTCGCACAACAAAAAGTTGAGTATAAATGTTGTATGACTTTAAATACTAACGCAAGTGAAGCGAAGCTAGTACGATCAGAATAGTAAAGCTTCTGTGGTTTGCAACAAGAATAATTTGCCATTATGTAAAAATGACCGTATATAAAGGTTAAAGTGAAAACTGACTGCTGGAAAATATTAGGAAATATTAGGACTTTGAGAAAATCGTGATTTCCAGGCATGGATATTTTGTAAATTTTACACTGTTGAAAAGTATCTCTATAACATATGCATATGCTTTAATAATTGATCACAATATAATAGTTACATTATTATGTAGAAGATGATTTTGTTGTAATTTCTTTGCATCAGTGGAAATGACAATCTTGCACATTAGGGCCAAAATGTTATTGAGAGGAGATGTAATATTTTTATTCTGTTTTGCAGATTACAGCCAAATGTTGACACGAGACAGAAGCAGCTGGCGGCGTGGTGTTCGCTGGTTCTGTCCTTCTGCCGTCACCGGAAACTCTACACTCTGGACGTTCTCGAGGCGCAGGAAAGCCCAGTCTTCAACAACAAGAAAATTGAGAGTATCCTTTCATGGTCTTTGTCTTGTTTTATTTGTTGATAGGATACACTGAGGTTGAATCACATTGAAAGGCTGTTCCTTTTCTGTCATTACTTGCCATGCATGTATTTCCCGTAACTTTTGCTGCTCAGGAAAACTTTCAGTTGAAGCCATACAAGTAGTTTTTGAAGAACTGAGAAAAAAAGGTGGGATGCCAAATGCATTGATAAGACGAGACCGGAAAATTGATGTTAAAATTATTTTGATCTTTGCTTTGGCATAGGAAACCTGGAATGGTTGGATAAAAATAAATCACGATGTCTTATAATGTGGAGGAGACCAGAGGAGTGGGGCAAACTCATTTATCAATGGGTGAGACTATACTGTGTCCTATAAATGTATTTATTTAAAGTTTTTATTTATTTAAAATATGTTTAATGAAAAATACAGTAAAAACAGTAATATTTTATTACATTTAATACATTTCAAATAATTGTAATATATGTTAAACTGTAATTTATTTCTGTGATCTGTGATCAAAGCTGAATTTTCAGCATCATTACTCCAGTCTTCAGTGTCACATGATCTTCAGAAATCATTCTAATATGCTGAGTTTTAAGAAACATTTCTTATGATAATCAATGTTGAAAACAGTTGAGCTGCTTCATGTTTTTGTGGAAACTGATACTTTTTTTGATGAATAGAAAGTTCAAAAGAACAGCATTTATTTGAAATGGAAATCATCTATTATGTTATAATTGTCTTTACTGTAACTTTTGATCAATTTAATCCAGCCTTGATGAAAAAGTATTAATTTCTTAAAAAAAAAAAAAAATCTTACTGATGCACTTATATCATGGAAAATCATCGTTGAAAATATGCTAGTGAGCACTGAGCAGTTAGGTCAAGTTGTTAATTTAAATACAATTACTTTTTCTCCCATTGTTGCATGTAGGTTTCCAAAAATGGCATGGTCAACTCCGTGTTTACACTTTATGAACTCTCTAATGGAGATGACACAGAAAAAGAAGGTATAAAAGTGTTTAATATTTCTGTTGTACATTGCAATACATCAGCAAAATAGTAACGCATATCTTTAGAACTTACCTTGTTGCTGTGTAAGGATTAGTTCACCCAAAACTGAAAATTTGCTGATTATTTAATCAACCTCAGGACATCCAAGATGAAAATCAGTCACTTGCCCAGAATGCTCACCAATGGATGCTCTGCAGTGAATGGGTGCCGTCAGAATGAGAGTCCAAACGGCTGATAAAAACATCACAGTAATCCACACCACTCCAGTCCATCAGTTTTTGCCGGAAGCAGCATCCATTGGTGAGCAGGTGATGCAATGCTACATTTCTCCAAATCCGATAAAGAAACAAACTCATCTACATCTTGAATGATCTGAGGGTGAGTACATTATTCTTTGCAGTAGCTGTGTTAAGCTCTGATCAAGTGCGTAACACAAGCGTATCTTTCAGAGTTCCATGGATTGGAGGATTGGATGTTGCTGCGTTCACTGCAGGCCCTGCAGGCTGAAGGGAAGGCAGAAATGATCACTATGGATGATGGAAAAGGTGTCAAGTTCTTTTAAATCAGGCTTTCTCAAATCAGACTTTGGGGAGGTGTTGGGTTCAGCCGAATCATCTTTTGTCTCAGTCCACTTGGGATCTTTTTGGACTCTATAGTACACTCCACTACTAAATCAGTAAGTCATTATTTGGCACATGAGCCCAAACTAAATTGTTGAAGCATGTATAAATTGGTGGTTTTACACCTGATGTTTGAGCAGACTAAAGAAACCGAGATTTTGTTCCTAGCCATTATGCATACAAAGTGAAATGTCAGACCAAAACTAAGGAATAGAAGCATCTTAATGTAGACCCAGACTAAACATAGGTTTTTATTCCACTCCTTTTATTGCTGTAAATCCTGAAGGACTCTCGTTCACCTTGAATATTTGTTCAAGTCAGAAAACGGTCTGCTAATCTGACACGTTTTTTTGCGAATCCTGCGATGCTTCCTGGCTAAGATGAAATGTTCTTGAGTAAATGTCTTGTTCCTGATGGCAGTGGAATTCATATCAATATTTTGCTGAAATCTGGTAGCATTCTCTCCTTTTCCCCCGGCTGTCACTGTATCTTATCACCTTTTATACCAATACTGTACAAATAAATAAGAGACGTTTTCAGTTCTTTCCTGCAAAGCCCTTTCCGTTTGGTTTGATTGAAGAGCACTTGCCTTATATATTTGATTTTCATATGCAAATCTCACATGCTTGGCGGAAGCATCAAAAAATGGCTTACAGCACAAAGTCATCTGCGTTATTCTTCTAGTGGAAGAGTTGACATGCTGTAAGTCAAACATGGTTATTATTCCATTGCTCATACTTTGGGTTTTTCAAGTCAGTCTCTCAGATGTCTACAGAAATGTTTAAAAGTTCAGCACATGTTGTATCATCTTTGTTAATATTTTAAATGGTTTTTATTATTACATTTTCTTTTAATTTTAGTTTGTGTTCATTGTTTTTTTTTAATTAGTGTATTTTTAAAAATGTCTACATAGTTTTTAATAAGCTTTAGTTTTAGTTATTTTGGTGCTTCAAATTAATAAAAAAAAAATGTAAATGTTACTTTGGCAACTTTTTATGGCAAGTTAATGTTTATTTTGTTTCAAGTAATGAAATAGTTTTTATGGGTTTAGTTTTAGTTGTTGATGATAACCCTATACAGTACACATTATTATTTTTTAAAAATTAAAATAGCATTTAAATTCATATTTTAAAAATAAAGTTGAATAAATTAAAATAGTTTGAAGTTTTTCTTTTAAATAAAAAAAAGTAGTGTTTAATGTAAAAAAAAAAATCGTCAGGCCAGTAATATTTTAAAATCCTGAGCTTCATATATATAGTTTAACTTTTGCATTTTGTTTTTGCTAAATCACACTGATGACCGTTTTTATATGTGACGGTCAGTAAAAGCGACAGGTGGCGCTCATGTGCATGTCAGTGTCACGTGACAGCGCCTTCTGCTGAGCATCCGTTTACAAATGTATGCAGTGCAGCTTTATTAATCATCCCTGAGGGCCAGTTTAGTGTTGACCACACATAATGGAACAGACAAGCAGAGACGCAAGAGTTTGTCTATCTTAAAATAAATGCCACTCAGTATTTGATCTAATGCAATGACAATAATACATTTTAAAGTGACTTAATCAAATGCTTTTTGTTGCCAACTGTATGCAATGGAATAGAAGTACAGGGAATTACACAAATGTTCTGTGATAAGTGCCCAGAGTAAATGGATCACCTCCGGTATGAATGATGCTTTGTACTGGTTGGTAGAGGTTTTTGGCGCATGAAACCAGCACATGAGAGGAAGCAGCATGAGCTTGTGCTGCAGAACGTGAGCTGTCAATTATGTTCTGGTCTAGAGACGGGCTAAACTTCATAAACTCAATCTAGTGTTTTTAGGCCAGATGTTTACTGTGGTTTGCATGAGGTTTTTGTTCTTGGTTGTGAAAGATTAGAAACAACAGACAAACACAGAAAGCTCTCAACTGAAAGATCTATAGAAAGTAGGGGTGTAACGGTACACGTATTCGTACCGAACCGTTTCGGTACGGGTCTTTCGGTTCGGTACGCATGTGTACCGCACCAATACAGTTTTTGTTTTTTCTTCTCAGGAAATTCAAATAATAAATGGCGTTTTGTAAGTCTTTTATGTGGCATGACAGATCGCTGTATAAACGCCTTAGAGAGCCGCTTCTGGGACGGTTCAGAAACGTGCTGGTATATAATCCCAACACAAGCACTGACTAGAGAGGCTGCGATCAGCTCCGGTTACCGTGTCTGAGCCGTGACGCCCCGCAGATCTGTGCAGAGCGGAGCGCGAGTGAACGCGGTCATTCCTTCCTTGGGTTGTTTTGACCCAGCGGTTGGGTTGTTTTGACCCAGCGGTTGGGTTGTTTTGACCCAGCGGTTGGGTTGTTTTGACCCAGCGGTTGGGTTGTTTTGACCCAGCGGTTGGGTTGTTTTGACCCAGCGGTTGGGTTGTTTTGACCCAGCGGTTGGGTTGTTTTGACCCAGCGGTTGGGTTGTTTTGACCCAGCGGTTGGGATGTTTTGACCCAGCGGTTGGGATGTTTTGAACCCAACCGCTGGATCAAAACAACCCAATAGCTGGGTTTGTCCCCTTTTAACCCAGCGCTGGGTTATTTTTAACCCAGCATTTTTTAGAGTGTATAGACACAGAATTATGCTATCGGTGCACTTTGTTTTAATTGTGGACAAGATATGAAGCTCTGACATTTTGATGGTTTACTTTGGTTCATTCTGATGTACACATTGTGAATCATAATAATTATCATGAAACGACTGCTATTTTTTTCTTTGTTATTTGTAACAAGAAATGTAGAAGATTTGAAGGTCTTTTCTATTTTCAGATATTGCTTTAGATGACCAAATCAAGCATAGCCTTTGTTTAAACATATTATTATTAATTCTATTTTGGGAGCAGCGCAGCCTGACTAATTTTTAATAATCGTGTCCTGAATCCAACATGAGAAAAGTCTAAAATAGTCAACCCAGGGAGCAAGTTAATGCTTTCAGCTCACAAATCATGCTTTTTTTTTCTTTTCTTTTTTTTAAAGAATGATAATTAGATTTCCTGTGTATGAATAACTATGGAAGTCAATGACAACTATCATAGCAGTTGAATAAATTCTCTAAACTTTTCCTAACTCATTTCTTGATTGTCATTTTCAGTTGTTCATCAGCTGGGACTCCAAGTAAGTTGTCACAAGTTTTACTATAGGCTATACATTTTATTTATTCAGTCATTTAGCAGACACTTTTATCCAAAGTGACTTGCAAATGAGGACAACAGAAGCAATCAATTGTAGTATTAAAACAACTAAAAACAGATCCAAAACTAAAAGCTAAAACTTTATAAATACTACCTATACACATTTTAAAAATAAAGAGATTAAATAAAAATGACAAATGCATACAACAAAATTTCAAAACTTAACATTTAAATGAAAAACAACTACATATGTGTATGTACAACCACACACACACACACACACACATATATATATATATATATACACACATATATACATACACATTTATAAATTCAATATATTATTTCATTTACATTTAGTTTGTTGAAGTATTAAAATAACTCAAATGAAATAAAACTAAAACTTAATAAAAAAGACCTATACAGACATAATAAATTCAGACATAATTTAAGTAAAATTAAAATAAATAACAAATACAAATAATACAAATCAAATGACAGTAGTTTATCAGTAATCCTAAAAAATAGCACTGGCAAACACACATGCTAAAAAACAACAACTTACTTACACATAGTAAGAAATGGTTATAAAAAACTGAAACAGAAGTGAAACAAGTAGTAGGAAAGAGGAGAAATAAAAAGCGATACTTATTAATACATAATAAATAGGTATATAAATTATAACATTATATTGTCACAAAAGTTTAACGAGTGTTCAGTGAACTGAATCTTTTTCCGGACCAGTGACGGTGGAAATGTCAGACACCTTTTTGCTGTTAGTGAGCGAATCGTTCAGACCATATGATTCAGTTCAAGCGACTAATCGAAAAGATTCGACTCGCAAAAAACGAATCGGACATCGCAAGTGGAAAATCTAATGGACACTCTCTCACCAGCACAAGCTGTTCTGACGGCACGAATAGATCTACGCACTGACGACCGCAAGCCTGCAGTGAAACCAAACGCTGCGGGAGTCACAGTGTTGCCAAGTCCGCGGTTTTCCTACGGAATTGGGCTACTTTAACACTGTTGCCGCGGGTTATTTTTCATGTCATGACTCCGATGACATGATATGTATCCCCTGGAATGCGATTTTTAACTGGGAACCCCCTCGAAACGCGATTGGGCGGGTTTTCTTATGAAAACCTGGCAACCCTGCGACTCAGGTGAAGCGGGCGGAGTCAGGCGCGAGAGCTCGCTGTGAAGAGCTGTAGTGCGGAGCAAATGTCCTGTGTATGCTTCAACTCTGGAGTAATTTCAGACTTCTCTAAATAAGGTAAATATACGATTACTAGCCCGTTTTGTTAGTTTTTCCTTTAATAGATAAAGAAATATAATGTAGTTGAGATTGGCTATAAATGTTTGTTTTTTTTATGTCTATAACCTAATTTGTTGTTATTATTTATGCATGTGATATTTTCTCGTAAAAAGCATATCGTGGAGGAAAATACGCAAAAGTCTGGTACATAATGTTCTTGCGCGCTCTAGTTCATTTCTCTGTTTCGTCCAGTTTGTGATGCTCTGAGCGCTCCTCAGCATGTCTCACGCCGAAGTCGAGTTCTCTGGACGTGGTTTTCCTGGTTTACCTGTTGAGTTGGAGGAGGACTGTCTCTCCAGAGTGCCAATGCTGCGGACTCACTCCCTGAACGCGAGGAGGAACTCATACGTGCTTCATAAACTCAGCGTGGATATTGACCCGCAAATCTACAACGAGACACTTTCCAAAGCGCTGTCGTGGTCCACTGAAAACATATTGTTATCAGAGAGAAGAGTTGCTGAAAATAAAACAGACCCTCCATCTCCAAGTTCTCCATCTCCAGTCTCCAGCCCAGAGTCTTCAACCCCCAGCGCCAGCTCAGCACCTCCAGAGGACTGGACAAGCTCCGTCCAGACCCCTCTGTCCCCTGTCGCCCAGGATGCCAGCTCGGACTCCGACAATGAGGGCTCCAAAGTTGAGAATGTGGCACCACGACGCCCATTTGTAAGCAGACTGGAGCAGGACGAGAAAGAGGACATTGAGACCAAAGCAGTGGCCACCTCACCGGATGGAAGATATCTGAAGTTCAACATTGAAATTGGGAGAGGGTCGTTCAAGACGGTCTACAAGGGGCTGGACACAGAGACCACGGTGGAGGTGGCATGGTGTGAGTTACAGGTATAGGAGTTCTTTCTTAAATCATTAAATTCAAGTGTTTTATGTAGAAGAGTCCAGATTTAGAGGTGGTCTTGCGGTCATATATCGGTTTTGGTGAGTTTAATACCGTCATAATCAATTTTTAATATACTATATAATTTATTATACTATAATTGCCAAACCTAACCCTAACTATTGCCAAACTTGCCAAAAAATAAACAAACTGATATATGGACCACAAAACCAGTCATAAGGGTCAATTTTTTGAAAGTTGTACATCTGAAAGCTGAATAAATACGCTTTCCATTGATGTATGGTTTGTTAGGATAGGACAATATTTGGCTGAGATACAACTATTTGAAAATCTGGAATCTGAGGGTGCAAAAAAAATCTAAATATTGAGAAAATCGCCTTTAAAGTTGTCCAAATGAAGTTCTTAGCAATGCATATTACTAATCAAAAATGAAGTTTTGATATATTTACGGTAGGAAATTTACAAAATATCTTCATGGAATATGATCTTTACTTAATATCCTAATGATTTTTGGCATAAAAGAAAAATCAATAATTTTGACCCATACAATGTATTTTTGGCTATTGCTACAAATATACCCCAGCGACTTAAGACTGGTTTTGTGCTGCAGGGTCACATATACATATACATATATATATACATACATACATACATACATACATACACACTCACTCTCTCTACCGGTCAAAAGTTTGGGATCAGAACAATTTCGAATGTTTTCACAGGAGTTCCTTATGCTTATCAAGGCTGCATTTATTTGATCAAAAATACAGAAAAAAACAGTAATCTTGCTAAATGTTATTACAATATAAAATAATGGTTTCTATTTTAATGTCCTTTAAAATATAATTTATTTCTGTGATGCAAAGCTGAATTTCCATCAGCCATTACTCCAGTATAAAGTGTCACAT